TTGTTTACGATCCTTTTCGTTAAGCTACTAGAGTTGTAGATAAGTCTTCCCTTAAGCCGCCGCTTTTTGTATTGGTTAGGCTCCTAGAATTGAAGTGGAGTAGATCCTAGGAGGTAATAATAAACAAGTAAGTTGATATCGTAATTGCTATAGTCTATTAATATAAGAATATTTTATCGACTTTTTCTAGCTTACGGAAGTAGATTTTCTCTTGGTTCTTAAGTGTTCTCGGCTTCTAGATAACCTAGCTATTTAATCTTATATAAAATTACTAGGCGATTCTTATTATATTTAGAACGCTTAATATAGTCGAGGTGGAAGCTCTCTAATTAATGATGGGGCCGTGCTGCCTTTCTAGGTAACTTGTTATAATCCGGTCTTGCTATATCTCTTTTAAAACTTGGTCTATAATAAGTTAAGTTACCGTGAGTTCTATGTTTGGACCGCTAAGTTAAGGTCTTGATAAGGCGATAGCGAATATTAGGACGTATAGATAGAGTAGATATTATCTTATTATCGTAGCTAATGAGTCTACCCTTGCTTATCTTTGTTATCCGAGAGATCGTCGCTGTTGCTATTTTAAGGGAGGCCTTCTTCTCGTTATTAATTATTGATTTGTAAGCCGATGATATATAAAATAATAGTATTACTAAGAATAGCTATACTCCTAGAAAGAGTAACGTCGCGAATATTTTACTTAAGCTTTCTATAGAGTCTCGAATAAAAGACTAGAAGAAACTACAACGGTACTTAAATAAAGAAAACTAGTAGACTATTTATGGTATTATATGGAATTCGAGGGGTAATACCGTATTAAACTCGGGAGTAAGTACGAGCGGTGTAGGAGCCACTAGGTAATGTTCAAGACTTTTCTATTATTGTCGTATAGAGTCTCGTATAACGTAAGGTAGTTACGGCCGAGCTAAAGTATAAGAAAGGGTATCCTACCTCTAAACTAATATCCCTAAAAGTATTGTATAATTCCTTAACTACAATTACATTCTAATGTTCTAGGAGATTATGCTCCCGGCTTCTAGCTAGTTTCTGGTGATTTGCTTAGTCTTCCTTATCATTGCAATATGTCTCTTTGCTTGGGTCTAGATCGTCGCCCATCATGTATCGTGGTTAGGGGCACCGGAGTGTGCCAGCTATATAGCATATCCAGAGGAAGATAGCGAAACCGAACATTAAAGCGGTGCGAACGCAATCGAGGGGTTACAGTCCGTCTTCTGAACAGTCAGTGCTCACAGGAAGCTACCATATTAACGATATACGGAACGATATTGAGTTCGAAGCAGTCCAGTTGAGGAAGATATCCGGCCTATCTCCATGCGTGCTTTATCTATAATGGAGCTTAACTTGCGAATTTCAACAATATCAATCGCGATTCTGTGGATACTAGATTGCCATGAAATATCGACGTAAAGTACAAGGCCTCGTTTTCGAAAGTCTTATGTTGAATATACCTTATAACAATACCAGAACAATGAAGGATTTACGGACGTAACCCTATTCTTACTCTGGCAACGCTAAAGGGTTTTCTATTACGAGGACATTGTGTGATGGCTTATATACTTGGCTCGTAACGTTAGTGAAACTGAAAGATACTTTTACCACACAACTTGAGGTTCTTATAGAGATTCGCGTAAGCTCCTCTTGCAGTATAATTGATTGTACAATGGCAATGTCGATCGAAAGAAGCAGTGAACCGGGAGGGGCGGCGTCAATTCGAGGCCCATACGGGGTCGGTGATGCTCACGGTATATAGGCATCAGAGATCCAGCCTCTAATTCAATGACAATTTCGTCTGCTATGGGTCATTAGGCTCGGCTATTTGCTCGCGGTTATAGTAGGCTAAGTGCGTTAGACGTTGTGAATCATCATGAGTTCAAGGCGTGTGAAGGTAGGCCGGCGTCTTTCCCATTTCCTGGGATCTTGATAGCTACAGGACTAGATTAGCATAAATATATCTTGACATAAACCTATTCCGTCACCCCTATTCCCATTTCTGTCGAGGTCGAATCAGGTTCGACTTATAGATCCGGTGGAGATGGCTATAAAAGTCCACTTGAATCCTTGAACACAGTACAATACATCATTCTCCAGGCACTTTTCCACTCGCCGCACACAATGGGATCTAGGTTACTCTAACTTCTCCATACGTGAACACCGAGAAAACTGGGTACTTGGACTCTCTGATTATTGTTCACCTATGGGAACTTGTAAGGGTTACCGCCATAACTTTTCTTTGGGGCCTGATCTGTTAAATAGGCTGTATAGGCACATAGCTCCCATGCATACTCTTCGACGAACCTATACCCGGGAGCATGATGATCCCGACTCAACTGGCTGCTCTCGAACGGTACGTATTTTCCGATGCTCTATAAGCATTCTGGAACCGACATTTTGACGGTTCATTTTACGTTCGGCTAAAATTCTGCCTACTATCGTTTAGTGTGCTTCTAAGGCAGCTATCTCCTCCAATAACTATAATCGGGGGAAAATTCGCGAAACGTATGGCATTAGTGGAGATATCGGTAGAAATTTCTGCTCATCATGCTTCTGTTCCTGTTGCGCATTAATTCAAGAGGACAAAGAATCCGTGGTAAGGAATTAAGGAAGGGACCCTACGACCAACAAGCCATTTTCCTCTCCAGCTCGAATGGCACATCCACAGAAGGGCAGGAGACTTGATTAGATTATACTATTGGAAAAGATAGATACCGCCAGTAGCTCTAGGCTAGAGTATTCGTATCTATTAGGCTATCGACCAGTATAAGATACCGTACGGAATCAAGGGATTAAGGAGGATTCGAGTAACGGTAGATCAAATGTAGGTAAATTAGAAGGCCGTAAGAATGGCCGGTTGACTGTATCGTAACGAGCACCTTTAACGTAAAAGGGGGCGAGGCTGTAACCCCTAAATCGAAAGCTAGCCTTGGCGTATCAGATAGCACCCAAACAGGTGACCAGCACGGTCGCAGCTCAAAATCCCTTCGACATTTAGCATCCGTTCTTCATTTCACTTCTCTTCTAGTGAAGATGCCAGTAATACCCTCCGTCGACGCCGATTTCATACTCTTACCAAGAGTGCCATCAAATATAGCACTTCTCCCCGGTTCATAACGTCGCCCCTTATGGAAGGTTGTATGGTTTCTGTGGATTGAAAACAATATAGGCCGTTGACGTTGACCTTTGTGATCGTGTTTAAAGAAGAAGCCTTTGATACGGAACATACAGAGACACATCTCGTTCTAGTGAGTTAAGGACACCAGTATTTCGACGCCGAAACTAGCGTGTCAAAGGTTAAGCGAGAATAACGACAGAATGTGGCACCAAGTCGTAGATCCGATGTCCTTGAAACAGGATACTATATAGTGAAGGGTGAGAGAGCTCAGTATAAATACAAAGCAATAACAGTCAATACTTTAGAAGCACGCGACAGCACTAGTGGAATTCTCATATCAATGCCTCGACCCTCCGGCCGAGCCGTCGCTCAATTTAGGTCACACGTTACCGTGTTTCTAATGTTAGAACTCCAGAAACTAGTTGTTCTAAATTTAGTTCGTCATGGCAATTTAGCTGGGCGGTAGTGGCGAACTTCGACACCTTTACGATTACAAAGCTATAAAAATAAGAACCTCTAGCTTCCCACTAGAATCACCTGGAAGCCTCTCCTCTAGGTCCGTATACGAGAAAATAGTCCTCCTAGAACTAAGCGAGATACACGCGTCCAAACGACTGTTTACTTTCCTTCTCCCTGCCGTGCAGCTGTCGTTGTGCAGCCCTTTGAGCACCCCCCAGATCTTTCGTCGGGAGTGTCCAGGTGGCGCCCTCACCGTCCTTGAAGGTTCAGCTTGCGACATGGATCAGGCAAGCACCTTGGCATGCTCGGACAACTGTTTTGACATAGTAAGTCACAGTGCTTCAGCATCGAACATCTAATGATTCTTTCAAGCTTCAATGTAGTCAACAATCTTCCGATCCAAATACGTGGCTGGCTTCGACCATTACTCCGAGTACCCCATTCACCTAGTCTCCTATTGCACACTGTGGGTTTCCCTTTTGTCAGGTAACAAATGATCAGTATGTATGTACAGGATCGTTGGCCAAATAGATGTTTGCTTTGAGGATTTGACCCGCCGAAAGGGAACATGGTCCTGGTGAGCTGCCGCAGAAGATTATCCTACGTACTATGGGATCAATTCAGGGCGACAGTAACCCCATATATAATGACGTAAATATTGGGACATAGCCACACCTAAATGATAGTGTTAGAGGTTTGAAAGGCTTACGTCAGGTTTCCGTCGTAGGCGACCGCGATGTTGATGTAAAATGGTCGATCCTGGCTAGGGAGTCAGGAGGATAAGATAAGCCCCGCACGCTGACTACTTTACTATTGAAGTAGGCTCAGAAATCTATATGTACCATTTTGACTTTCTACTGTACTTGCCACCATAGCTAACCGTGCTGGGTCTCGGCGTAATGTGTCTTCTTCACCCTATAATCGAACGTCGCGAATTGATTTAGAAACAATTGGGATAGGTTCTATCTCCAGAGCACCGGCCCGTCTATAGACCCTAGAAGAGACATCTAGGATCGCGAAAGGAATTAACGCAGTACGGTCCATGTCCTCTTTCACGACTAACACGGCAAATAAGGACGCTGAAACGAACATTCAAAATCCTAGTATATCTGTTCACCACCAGCCGCGCCTTGGTAGGGACGAGGAAAACAACATAGTCAAGCGTGAGTCGCTATGGAAGATATACAAGAAGGGATATGAGCTTAAGCTCGACCAATTTGTCACGGTTGCGGTTCGTTTATTTCCGCGGTTAGGTAAGGTGGCTATTAAGGAATACACCGGGCATGAAATGGAACGAAAATTCGAAATGTTGAATACCGTTTGTCACGGGAGATTTGTCAGCTTACTTAAGCTTTTCGAGTGGGAGAAGGCGTGCTACGCCGTCTTCGAGCACGTTTTCGTGTCTCTGGAATAGGTAGTGGCTTGCCCGGCGTATCCAACAGAACGACAGCTCGCGGCCATTGTGGGATAGGTGAGTTGACATTGGACGTGGAATACTATATATCGTCAATGACAAGTTTAGATCCTCGAAGGTCTCGCCTACTTATCCTCGATGGGATTGCAGCACGGCTCATTGACATGCTCGAATGTACTTCTGAAGCCGAGCGGAGAGATCGTCTTAGGTAACCATAAAAATCATGGCCGTTTCCCTAAAGACTGACTGTCCACAGCAAACCAGGAGTGCTACCGCACCACCAACGCACCCGACACGACCGACGTCAGAGCCGTCGGATGTATCGCGATGGAACTGATGCAGAAGTATACAAAAGACGACGGAGCCATAGGCATCGAGAACCTCAATCGATGGCCTGTAAACTCCACACCCGTGAGATTTTTGTCGATGACTACATCTGCAGAGTCGGTAGGAGAGTTACAACAGGTAAAGACAAGCCAACCTCGGGTACTGGAAGCTAAGTCTTATTAGCATACTTTGTTGAAACGGCCGTGGCGCAAAGAGGACTTGGAGTTGTTGGAAGAGCTGGCATTGTTCTCCGTTCGGCGGGCTTATAGATACATCGAGTGAAACCCAGCAGCGTTATATAGAAATGTTCTTTGTATGCAAACTATGGATATGGCTACAAAGTCGTTCAGATTGCCTAATGATATGGCCCTTTCGTTGATTTATATATAAAAACTCCTCTTAGGCCTCTACAATCTATCTTCAATATCCAAGTAGTCTTCTGAAAACCGTCCTAGATCCGGAAGGTCTTTACGACCGGAAAAACCTCATTGAATCGGATAGAGATGTGAACGGATAAGAATAGTAAAGTTTCATAAGCATATAGGGCAATGAGAGCATTTGATTGTGTCTGTATGTGTGATCTAAAGATAGTGTAGCGCCTTGGTGACGGTTAATCTCCATTCTTTTCCACTATATACTTAGCGGTCCCCTTCTCGTTCATATATATAGTTCATGGGTTGATCCGCAGTATCTCACGATGGACATTACTTAGATCTATGCGATCGTCATCGCTAGTGTCGCTTTCGTCTTTCTCCTACGAACCGGGGTTTCCTGTTTGGCTCCTAATCTCATTGCCACTTCTTCCCACGTGTACCAATACCTCAGTTATAGCTATGTCCTTAACCGTCGCACTCTCATCGGTCCCTGGACTGGGGCCGGAGTCTTGCTGCATCTGATCTACCTGGCGGTCAATGCGGTTTGCTTGAGTGTTGGTGTCATAAATTTATTACATGCCGGGCACCGCGCAGGGACTTTGGCCGTTATTAATCTAGGGCTGGTATTGAGTGGCCTTCACCTCGACTTCCTTGCCGACCTGCTGGGTCTTTCTGTGGCCGTAATTCGAGTTATCCACCGTTCCGCCGGCTTGGTTGCTTTCGGGCTTGCCGTCTTTCACGTGGTCGTAGCCGCCATTACGGAGAGGCTGGCGTTCGTGAGGGAATTTGAGAAACCGTTTGTAATCATCGTGAGTTCTTCCCTCTCTGCACATCTTCGACTCCTAACGTATTTAGGCGGGCTCGACCTTCTATATCCTTATGATCACCCCACGGCGCCTTATCTAGAAACTGTCTTATGAGATCTTTCTTCGATTCCACTAGGTTTCGGCACTTCTCTGTACTTACTCAATCTGGAAGCATTTATTGTCTAGACGGCACCCTTCCCGATTCTATCTTGTCATATTCATTAGATTGCTGGTTGTTATATTTGCCTGCGAATGTATGCTGGTTTTCGTCCGCAATGGATGGTCTCACCGCTAGGGTTCGCGGGTTACCGCCACGAGCTCATATGGAATGGTCAAATTGAAGCTGTATCTTTACAAACCATTAAAGATCGAACCGGGCTAGTATTTAAATTTATGGATGCCCTCTGTAAGTATGGGAGCTTTTTTATAGAGTCATCCCTTTATGGTGACCTCTTGGTCCATCGAGCCGCAAACCTCCCTGGATTTTCTCATCTAGCCGCGTCGGGGTATCACGAGAGATCTCCTTCGCCTCACTCGTCTCGGTGCACCGATTAAGAGCAAGTGGGTTATATTCAGTGGACCGTATAGTCACACCGTCCCGGTAGGCCAATATGAGATAGTTGTGATGGTCGCTGACGGTGTTGGAATCGCCTCCCAATTGCTATACTTGAAGAAGCTGATTCATGGCTACCACGCTCGCCGGATAGTCACGCGTAGAATCCACCTGATCTAGCAGATCAGTGACATTGGTGAGAATCCTCCCTCTAGCCCTGATCTCCGCTGACCAGCTAAGATGTCGGAATTGCCGCACAGCCCTCTGTGAACGAGGCGCTAGATAAGGATAAACTAGAGAGCGGCGGTGTACGTGGCTCAAGCAATATTTCTCCGCTATCGCTGATCAAAGGGCAGATTCTCTAGGTCTCTATCTATATCAATCTCAATGATATTCCAAAAATATCATTTAGGAGGCGGAGTACCGTTTATCCTGGAACGGCGGACTTGAATGACCTGGTGGAGAAGGAGATAGCTTTCAACGGTGAACTCCAAGACATAAGAATTAGAGGGTCTCCCTCAGGTCTCCCCTCAAGCACAAACCACCAAGGATATTTAAGAATGGGACGTAAGCAATCCTGATCCTCTTTCGTAAATCTGAGCTCACCAAATCCAGAGACAATAGACCTCGCACGACAAAGTGTCCTTTCTGCATATTCGACAGATGAGATCATACACTTAGACACGGACGTATAACCGCGGCCGGGGGAGAGCGTTGTCGATATATGGACACAGGACGAAGATCAGCTGTACGCCTTGCGACGAAGATCGTAGGGCGCGATCCTTATCCTCGGTGAGTCTCTCGGTCCTGATGTTTACGGACGCTAATGTCGCTTAGTATTAGGGTTTGATGGGACTCGTAACATTTTAAGAAGGTTGATACGACGGCACCTATAAGAAAAAGTTTAATTTGCCGAAACGGAATTCTAGTCTTTTAAGTAGATAAGGAGTAGACTACTATTTTATATTAAAGGATCCTTGATAGTTAGACTAGTTATAGTTAGATAGAAAATAAGACTAATCTTACATTGTACGTTTATACTCTCGGGACGTTTAATTTAGCTTTGCGTAGTCATGGTATACTATAATAAACGAGAAGTTTTAGTCTTGTACGGAATAATGTAAGCTCCTTCTAGGGGTAGTAAGTTCTATGGGAGGTGGGAAAGTTTCGATCTATTAGTATCACAATAAAAGGTAGAGACTATATTGCCTAGGTTAGGCGTATCGGACCGCTGAGAGTTTTATATTACTACAAGATTAGCTTACGTTATTTTTTTAATTCTCGTCTTCTAGTGATAGTTAGGTCCTTAATATTATACGTTATTGCTTACTACTAAAGCTCTCTATTCTCGTACGATTTAGCTATTAACCTTTCTATAATTTTAAACCTTTTTTATTATACAACTAAGCTAAGCACGATTAAAGGATTTAAAGTTCGAAAGGGAAAGACGTCGATAATTTCGAGGGATAGCGCGTATTTCTTTTAATTTATTGGACTTTTTATTCGATGCTTATTAAGAAGTTAGTCAGAAAAATGTAGATCGCCTAAAAGGGGTATTTCGCCGTAAAGGTTATCGATGAGAATTCGTTAATAATTATATTCTAGTTGTTATTAATTAAGGTAGTTTCGACGCCGCCCTTAAGTTGTTGGGGGTGACGGTAATAGAGCTGCTCACCTGCCTATGGGATAACTATCCCGAGCTTCGATTCCGCGCGGGTGTGTAACTTACTTGCCTCTATGGTAAGTATCGTATCTAAACTGGTCGTGAGTTCCTAACGCCTCGAGATAAGTGGTAGATCGCTGACTTCTATCTAGACGGTAAGTACTATAATATAAGATCCTATAGTGTGAATATTGATGATTAATATCCGGGCTAGGCTTATCGACGGACGTGCGATATAGCCTTATTAAGGAATACGCGAATGAAAATATCCCTTTAGATAGAGAGATCTACTATAAAATTCGCGAGTATTATTTTTAGCGTAACTTTAGCTTCGAATAACAGTGGTAGGCTCGCCTTCGAGGCTATCGAAATCGTAATTTAAAAGCACTACTTAAGAATCCTAAACTTATGGCCGCGTTCGACGTACTTCTTAATATACTAGGCTTATAGAATGGGATGTAACTTACTACCCTTTATAAGATACTAGCACTAAAATCCGACGACGTAAGTTCTAAGAAATATGGACTTTACTAGTACTAACGCGTAATAGGAGATATTGTATTACCTCGAGTATATCCGACGATTCTAGTACGACTTAGTTAACGGTGACCTTAGTACTATACGAAAGATTGATAGCCGGGCCGTATAAGCTCTAAAGCTTCGAGCGCTAGAAGTGTCTACGTATAACGTAGAGGAGGTCTATGCCTAACTCTAGGCCGGCCAAATTTTAAGCGCTTTTAGTGAAGATAAGCGACGATATATCTTCGAGCGATTATGCCGATTTAGTTTCTTGATTCTCTCCTTGTATATATTCTTCCGAGATCTTACGTACTAGGAGGTATATATTGAGAGTATTAAGTATTTAGTGACGGTATCCCGCCGCGACACTATCTTTTCGACCTTCGAACGAGGATTTACCGCTATTAATCAATAGGATAATAAAGTAGTGGTGTAGGTGGACGAATCACACTTTAAGATTCTTTAAGGCCTTTCTAACGTATAATTTAATCTCGGTTTCCGCTAGATTATTATCTTTGCTATAAGACGCTTTCTCGAAATACCTCGGGAGCCTATTAGTCGCGACGTAACTATTAGACCTCGTCTAAAAGCTAGTACCTTCGTACTTATATAGTTCGCTTAACTAGCTATACGTATTAGGTTCGAGACACCTAAAATTTACTACTCTTTAGATACACTAGAGCGGTTAGAGCCTTCTACTAGTCCTATATCGACTTAATCGCTCCTCGTTACTTTAGGTCCTAGCGAAAAGCTGTAACGAAGATATAGGTTGCCTACCTTAGATACGTTCCTAGATAACCGAGATTTCTTGTTCCTCTACTATTTATACGATTATTAAGATAAACGAGGTAAAGGGGTTACTTTATTTTTTGTTCTAAAATTTATCTATTTTATCTTTATAGGTTGGTTGGACTAGACGAATAGTTTATAGTCTTATTTATCGACGTAATTAGTCCTTTATCGCGATACTTTTAATGTTACTAAATAAGATTTATAGTAGTAAGAATAAGTATAAGAGGAATAAGTATAGCGTAAATAAATATAGCGTGAATAAGAACGACGGGAATAAGAGCGGCGGGAATAAGAACGACGTAAATAAGAACGACGTAAATAAGAACGACCTAAACAAGAACGATCTAAATAAGAATGACTTGAATAAGAACGACCTAAATAAGAACGACCTAAATAAGTATAGTGTAAATAAGAACGACCTGAATAAGAAC